TCCACTAACTGTTATGTAATAAAAATGAAAAAAAAAAAAACCCCAAACCCACCTTATTAATAAGTTTACTGCTGTTGTAGATATTTCATTTATATCTCATGTATGAGCTTTGCTATTTAAAATACAAACCTCCTGTTTGATACGGTGATTTGGAAGAGCCAAGTCTAAAACCTGAAAACTGGGTGTCACAGTTGTTTTCATGTGAGTAGACATCAAAACAAAGGGAGCATAATCTCCCTATGAACTTACAGTAATAATGCAGTACAAAAAGAAAAAAGTTTGTATCAGCTTATATTTTCAGCAAGACAAAGAACTCTATTATTCTGTGAATCATTTTTTAATATAATTTAGATAAAATCTTGTTCTCTTTGAGGAAATCTAACAGTCCAGCAACTGGACCACAAAAAGGGACAGAGATGGTCTTTAAGACTATGTGTCAGACAATACAGATAATGGGATCATTGACCTGTCAGGCTACTGAAATAAAATTAAAAAAATAAATCACAAAAGCTGAAGAATCTATGCTAAATATTTGCTTTTTCCCAATCTGCTTGAAGATGAGCATTTTAAATTCATGCCAAGATAATAAATCACTTCATATAAGCTCATTGTTTTTCCAACTGAAAAACAGTTCATACGGAAATGCCATTTTATTGAAAGCAATTGATATTTATGCTATTTTTGAGAACCAGCTTTTATTCCAGGTCTGTTCCTTCAAGCTTTGATTTTATTTACTGCAGCTAGGACTCTGAAATAGTTCTTCTTTGGTATTCATTTTCATTTCTTGTAAGAGTAAGTAATGTTCAAGAAATGCCAAAATTAGACTAAAGGAAGCTGGGGCTGAATTGGGAAGAAAAAATCCAAATTTTTCCCCTACTTACATGAGAAGTAGACATGTATTATCTGATTGAACATTTGGATTCGGGAGCACATCTAGCAAATGCCTGGTCATAAGCACATGCCATCAGGTCATTGTTTTTTTCAAAATTTAAGCCTGGAGCTGTACGATTTTGATGAATAACATTGGAATTAGCCACATAGTAGTAAGCTCATTGCTGTTAGAGCCTGGTCAGTGATATTCAACCCTTGTAAAAGGTAGACGTGACAAACCAATCACTTGGCCAATGGACCTTGCACCGTATTCTACTGAGGGTGTTCGCACACTGATATGTGTATGATTTTCATAAGCAAAATGAAGGTAGCTCCATAAATCAGTGTAGAAGTCCTTACATCATGTGGTAGGCTACTAAGCTTCGTGACCCTACATTGGACACTGAGTAGAAGAGATGTGGGACATGATCCCCTTAATATAAATTGTCATTACTGCATTGACTACATCACCTGAGAGCCTAGCTAAATACCGAAAGTATTCTGAAGAGCTCTTTTTTGTGGATGTGTTTGTTGATCTAAACATGATCCTGCAAGAATTAGAACATTTCAACTTTGGGTCATGGATGTACTGAAGCATTTTTCAGTGGTTTACGCTATGAAATGTGCCCATACTCATCTACATTTCCTATTTTAAATGCTGGGATCATTCTACTGACTGGGGTTTTTTTAGGGTTATTTTGGATTGTTTTGAAGAAATTCTGCGCAGGAAAAAAAAAGAAAAAGATCAGGATATACACCTCTCATAATTCTGGTCCACAGCATTATGCTGAAGAGAGACGGGCTTTCTCTGTTCAGTTCAGAGCAAGTTCAATTCATTTAATTAGCTGTTCTCCCAGTTTACTTGAGTGTAATGCTGCGTGTGTGAATTTTCACACCAGACTACACTTGAACTTCATAGGTCAGATATAATTTTTAATTATGCAACAGGTAAACAGCTGAGTTCAGAGCCTCTTTTAGGAGGATTACAGTCTGTTTCTAAGGCTGGGAGGCGATGTAATTTTAGGAATGAACTGCATTTTGTGCTGACTCACATCCCTCCTGATCCACCGAGTTCAATGGGACTATTAGGGTCAGAAGTAAAGCAAAATTTGGCCTACCATTTCAGCTGTTTCAGTACAACTTTCTTTTGTGTCCTCTACATAATTAATTGCCAGGCCTCAGAGAAAATGTTGTCCCATTCACTGTAAAATAGGAGGGTCCACGGAGGAAAATAGTTGCATTAGAGAAACACACAAATGACATTAAGGCTACCTAGCTTGATGTTTTCAACCCTTTTTCTTTTCCTCTGCAAACAATGACAGTTTCAACAGGATCTGAAGCGATACTCTTTGCAAATAATACACTAGTCTGTCGTATGGTTAATATTAACGTCTCTCTATTCAAACATGCTGAAAACTGAATAGAACAGTTAACATATAACAGTCACACATCCTTTGCTGAGTACAAGATTGCATCTCTAACATGAACCGAAGATATCCTCACCATTTCAGATCTTCATCTGTCATTCAGTCAAACATTTCATTCTCTTAAATACATTGCTCTTCCCCTCTTTCTGGGTCTTTCGGGGTGCTGAGTGAACACATTCTCTCCATAAAGGCATTGCTTATGATATGGTTCTTCCTTCAACAGGAATCTTGCCGTGTGTTTCCAATATGTTGCCAAAGGCGAATTTGCAGAGTTTGGTAGGATTTGGGGGCAAGGCGGCCTTACATCTCGATTGAAAAGATTTAATTTTGAAACATCTGTTTGGGCAGGTTTCTGCACTTCATTGCAGAGAGACCACCCAATGGTGAGCACAATTGTGATCACACTTCAGAAACTATTGAATCAGAGCTTTATATAGTAGCCTTTTTTTTTTATATTACAGGTATGTTCACAAGGGTTATGGGCAGAGGCAAGCTCACTTTGCTCATGCCCTGAGCTGGCGAGATGTAAACAGTGTTGACAGAAAAGTCACAGGACTGTAGGGATGCGAAGCTGAGCCCCACCTAATACACCTCATCTTTCAGAGGGTTTATTTGGTGTGGGCTCGGGGCCATACCCACCGCCGTCAGCTCAGCTCATGCACAGTGAGATTGTGCCCAGCCACAACTTACAGCACAAACACATCAGGGTGAGACCACTCCTCATGGCGATCGCACCTTACTGCTACAACAAAAGCTCTGCGTCTTTGAAAAAGGGAGTCCGAACGAAGCATGCTCCATCCTGGGGCATAAAGCTTAGTTTGCCCTCAAATGTATTTTTATTGAAAACACACAGCAAAGATTACAGCCATAGAAAGGTCTGTAAACAAGACAATTTCATCAACTTTCTCTTAAATAAAACAAAACCAAAACCACAAAAGAAATGCAAAATAAGACTTGCTGAATGAAGACTGTGAATAGAAATTTTTTTTTACTGCCTTAACAAAAAAAAATGACATACACCTTCAGCATTTCTTTTCCAAATTTACTCGACAGAGGTTAAAATATTGCTTTATTCTGACTCAACATACAACAGCACTGCGTGATTGATTGTGCTATTTTGGGAAGTCTTGAGACTTGTGAACTGGAAAGTCGGGGGCATGTTAATAAATTTAACAATTAATTTGCTGCAAAGGAATATTTTAATACATTCTATATATGCTGTAAATTTTTTTTAATCAGTCTTCTGACATCAACCAGGGAAGGCTATTTAGCAATTATTATAGTTCATTTTTTTTTTCCCCACAAATAAGCAGATATCCTAATACTAATAAAAACAGTAATGTGTGTGTCACTGAACCCAATTCATTGCATTATTAGCATATTTTATTACAATTTATGGGGGGAAGAGGGACTCAAAAGAAAGCAAATGCAAAAAATGCTTATAATGTGATTGGGATACGGCAACCAGGAAATGACATTTCTTCTCGAAGGCCTCGATCCCCTGCAGGGAGTGATTTGGTGGAAACCATCTGCTTTTATACAGCCCCATCAGAATCAGATCTGTGCATGCTTGTGGGTCTGCCCATACTGAACCATCTGCAGGGTTGAAGCTTTAAAGTTCACAAGCCTAAGCCACTATTAATTAAAGTGACTGGAGAACTGAAAGTGGGAACAAATTAGGGCAGCGTGGACACTTATCGGCTGGACTCTGATCATACCGGATGTCCCTGACTCTTCTCCGAACAACCCATAATAAAAAATAAGTTAAAAAAAAAAAATACACATACACTCAGAAGTGCTCCTTGAGAGCTTACAAATGCCTTCAAAGTATAACAGTTTAGAAATATTGAGGAGTCAGTAACGAACAACAGAGTTTATGTTCCCACTCAAAAAAACCCAAACCAAACCCCAAAACCAAACCTGTCGTAATACACCATTTTGCACTTTCTCTTGTTCTTCCTCACTCTCCACCAAGGCAGCTCTGATAGGCGAAGCTCAGAAGATGGAGCACCCAGGGGCTCCTGACCACTGCGTATCTACAGAACCCAGTCCCACTCCACACTTGGCCAAACCCAAAGCTCCTAAGTGTTTCCATGGACTTTCTTGGGCTGACTGACACATTAAAGTAAGGTCAAGAGTTAAGCATCTGGCTCAGTTTAGGGATTTGTTGTCATTCCACCGTAGGTACCAGACCTCAGAAGTAGACGCCTGCGTACCTGTTTCCACGGTACGAACCTGGAACCAAGGATAAAGGGGGAGAGGGGACCGGGTCTGTGCTGGGTGATAGCACTTGCTCCCCAGGGCCTGGATCCCTGGCCAGCAGCTCACTGCAGCGCTGCCCTGAAACCAGAAATGAATCTAAGAATGGTCTTGGCCTTTACTGAAAAAAAGATGCATAGCCTAAGCCTTCGGACAGCCGAACGGGACTGTGGTACAATGCTCTGTAACTGAAACTGTATGTGTAATCCTGCCTAGAAAGCACCTGATGTACGCTTCATACATACTCCTGGAACTTTTCCCTTAAAAAAATATTTTGTTAAAAAACACTATGATATGAGGGCGATTGACTATTTGGTTTCTTCTAAGTAGATGCTCTTAAATTAATGCATATAAATAATTTGTATTTAATCTCCTCCCTTCCTGTTTAGCAAAGCATCGAATGCACAGATCTCTTGTTTCCCCTCCCACAACCCCCACACAAAGTCACTTGGTCAATACCGAGTCTCTTTGCGTTTCGCTTTTTAAGACAAATTGTGCCTCTCGCTCTGACTTAGCCATGGGGCTCATGGGCAGAAAGGCCGTGTTTTCGCTCGCGCTGCTCTCTGCTTCTACGCTCGCCAGTTCATAGTCCTCCGACCTCCGCGCGTCCGTCAGAATCCGGATCTGCTCCTGCACAGTTTCTAGCAATATTTTCACTTCGTGTTGTTCTGCTATAAGACAATTACTGACCGGGGAACTCACATTGACAAGTTCAGCTGAATAGGAGTTTTTGCACCATTTGATGCCTGTTACTTCAGAAACATTTTGCATTTGCATGCAGGCTTCATCCAAGCCCACAGACGGGATGATGGGAACGGAGTTGGCCCTTGAAGATGAATAGCCGACCAAGTCCTTCTGATCCATGTTATTAAAATAAGGGGTTGTCTCTCTTGAAGGCAGTTGCATATTTATTGAAGTATTCTGAGGAGTTTTTAAACCACTGGATGAATACCTGGAAAGAGCAAAAAGAAGTTTTTGTTGTACATCACGCGGTCAGATGCAACCAGCAGCAGGAACGCTGTATGAAATTCAGTGAACCGTGCTGAAAAGATACATGTCATTTTTCTCTCACACTAGGAGCACTTGGTAATAGTGTGGCCCTGGGGAAAACAACAGAATCTGGAGACCTGGTTTTGATTCTCAGATCTGCCGGTGGCAAACCACTGCTTTTTCTCGGCCTCATTTTGCCGACCAGTATATGAGAATAACGACAATTCCTTTTAAAAAGCTTTCAGGACTTATACCGTATTACAATTAATTTTGTTTGAAATTAAATTTGAAATTCCATTCCTACATTCCTAACTGGGGAAATGGATTCATGCTTTCTTCAACATCAGAACTCTCAATGTCAAATGCCTATTTTAGGAAAACACTTTAAAAAGGTTGGCCTGATTGGTTTTCTTAGATCTTATCTAGAAATAGAACGAATACATTGGGCTCGAGTGTCTCCAAAAAAGTCCTTTATCCCCCCTTAGCACACACCATAGGATGATTTTATTTATCGTGAGGCAACTTTGGTGAATTTTTATCAACATTTCCATTTTGTTTCAAAGCCAAATTCATTATTCTGATCAAAAAGTGTTCTCGCTTACAGAAAATACTTAAAAAACAGAAATGGAAGGTATACTAAATACAAAATAAAGGAAACAATGACCAAAAAAAAAGATGTTTCCCATCTGAGAAGCAGTTTTACAAGAAATCTGGTGCTCTAAGAGTTACTATATCTACTAGTCATGATTGCCAAGGACCATAGACATCACCTCAGTACCAGAACATACTTTATTTATAATCAGCTTTGTGAACATATCACTATTTAATAAGACAAGCTAATGGTGAAGTCTAATATGTTTTGTCCATGGACGAGAAAAGCAACATTTGGATCTGGTGTGGAAGCAGGCGCTTTGAGCTTCGACTTGAAGGCTATTTTTCTGAAAGCTGCTTAAGCCTGCTGGACTTCGCTAGGGAGAGCCTTCTACTCGTGTGCCTCATTGCTTTTGGCATTAGCAGAAAGAGAACTAAGGAAAAGAAAGTGAAATGCATGAAACAGCCATAGTCCAGTATTAGCGTACAACACTAATTAACTGGAAAGGCTTCCTTTGGCCCCATCCTCCTGGCGAGCTGTCAGACAGGAGAGAGAGGAGGAGATACGTTTAGGCCCATTTCCAGCAGAGCGCTGCTGACTTGTAATTAACTCGTCTATGGTGGCACGGTGTTTGTACAACTGCTTGACACATTAACCCGTACATTAGCACACATGCAGCTCTGTGCAGCCCCTGAACGAAAACTCTCCAGGCATCCCCAAAAGACCAGAAAAGGCAGCTGGGAGCTCTGCGGTAAGGAGGAGCTGTTGTGATCTTTGCTGCTACCTGACGGAAAGAGATAACTGCTCTGGGAAGTGGGACCCAGGGGAATAATATAGCAAGCGTCTTTTTTGGATACGCGATAGAACTTCTTGTACACGCTATACAGCTGCATTTATGTTTTATGGCTGAGCCAGCTGAGACTCAGCCTTTGGTTAATTACATTTGCACTACGCTTAGACACACTCGCAGTCATTTAGGGAGGGCTTTTTTAGAACAGTTTTCAAGAATCAGTATGAATGAAATACTGATCAGGGATATTATTCCCGAGGGAGGACAATTAAAAAAAATAAATTAAAACAAAACAGTGCAGACCTTTGGGTTGTGCCCATTCTTGTTTCCTTTGCTTATTATATAATTGTTCAAACGACTATAGCTGGAGAGATCGCATCAGTTGCATTATTCCCTTTCTTGGTAATTCAGGCCCTAAATATATTCTGGGCTGCACCCTGAAAACAAAGGGAGTGAATGTTTTTAATGAATTTCACATGCAATGGATGTATTATATGGATGATATATAAGCAAAACCAAGAAAAGACTGAATTAAAATGGGTTTGGTGAGAAAACAGTAACATTTGCCAATTCCATAATAGAGACTCAGTTATACTTGGTATTTTGAAAGCTAATTGGCAGTAACAATAACACGTAACGCAACGCCTGGCATATTTCCAGAATACTTTTTGAAGTACAGACAGACACACCAATTTTAGGCCAGAATTACATGTTTCTGCCCTGTGCTCACAGGGCTTTCAAAGGAGGACTGAGGATGAATTAAAGCACATACACTGTGTGCAAAAGGCAAGGTATTAAACTACTAGGGATATTACACCTAAACCGTGTGAGACCCAGCTTTTGGTTAATTACAAACTGATCCATGCTTCTACTTGTGACACCAGACTGCTGCTGTTTTCAATAGACTGAGACTTAGACCTATAACTGCAGAATCTTAATTACATGTTCCTATAATTAACTTTTCTAGAACTATAGTTCCTCCTAAGAAACATATCTGGTTTTTTATCTGAAAAATTATTTTGTCTGAATAAATTCATTCATGCGCATGTATTTCAAAGGGCAGCTCTCTCTCCACCCTCTTCATAAAACCAAGCAAAAAAGAAAATCAAACATTTATAAATATGCAACAGTAACTATGTTATACTCATACAGTATTTAAGAGTCTAAATTAAAGATTGAAATTGAAAGAAGCATAACCATTTTACTGCCCCCTTAAAATAGATATTAAAGAGAGACAGAAGGGATTGGAACTTAAAATACAAAATGGTTTTTTTTTAGCACAGTACCAATAACTTCACTATAAGCCCCGGTGCTATAGGTGTTCAGTATATGTGCCTGTCGACAAGGTCCATTAAGATGAATGGGAGTCACTCCGGTGGCATTCCCAGGCTTTGGTCCAGCCTTGTGAGCACATACACCTATATATACACACACCATTTTCTACCTGTAGATATGACACTTTGGGTCTTGTGTACATAAACACATTTATATCTCGATGTATACACACTCACAGGCTATAAGGTGCTACTTCTAACACTTCATACTGCGTAACGCAAACATCTGTCACTGAATGCACGCGAAACTGCTGTCCACTTAACTGCATGTAAACTCGCGACACCCTCAGGGACTCGAATCGGTCTCTGAGATGTGACTGGCATGGAGATGGTCTGTTTTCTTTAAGCCCCTCATTTCAAGCAGGTTTTTCTACTCCTTCAGGTAGCACAGTAATTAAATAACTGATATTAGCTGTATGTGACTCAAACTCTGCAAATATTAGATCCTGTTGCAAATAATGAGAACTGGTGTTTCTTGAAGGCAGCAAAAACTTTCTTCTCAATGTGGGATGGGAAAAGGAGCGCTTTTACAAGACTAGACAAAAACTAATCAGGTAAATTAGCCTCTTTTCTATCAAATACAAACATAAAATCTGATTAAACTTCAGCCAGAGCTGCTGATGGATGAACTTCAGAAGGCTCACAGAATTAGGGAGATAAAGCATGTCGATTTGGGCATCCCTATAGGTAAAAAGGGAGAAGAAAGGAAGGAGTGTAACTTCTGCAGGGAACAAGGGAACTTTTCATTTAGGCTGGAAATCTAGTGAGAATACCAACACTATGAAACTAGCAGATATTTAGGTGGTAAAAAGCCACCTGATTTTGCGGAAACCTCTTCCTAAGTTAGAAGAATTGCGCGTAAAGTAGAATTAGTGAATTATTTTTTATTTTTGTTCAGAGATAAGATGCGTACTTATATTCTGGTTGAAGAGATTCCTTCATTGCTGCAACATAAAATACTTGCAAGAAATTTTGTTACACTCTTAAAAGACTTCATTTTCATAAAAACCATCATCAGTAAAACATTGTAATAAAACAAGATCAAAGAATTGCTTTTGTTTTCATGCCTAACATTGACATTTTAAAAATTCATTTCTACAGGTACTAGTTGAAGACTTTTGGTATCGTATTTGTGATATACACAGACTGCTGTGACTCCCTGTCACACCACCACCTCTTGATGCGCTCGGAGGACTGCTTCAGAGAACGGTCCCATCGTTAGAGTCGATATTAGGAAGGTCTAATTCTACAGACATCCCTAGCGCACAAAATATGGACCAAGTGCTTTAGTGGATTGAGGCCAGAAGGGGTCACACTCTCATCCAAGTATCAACCTTTTGCAGAATTGCAAATTTAAAATACAGGCCAGTACAAGATGATGCTTGTAATATCGCACACTGATTTCCTAGAGAAGAGTAAATACAACTACCCAACAAGACAGCTTTGCTGGTTTCTGCCTCGCTGCTCAACCTAGGAAGAGGCTGCAGCAGTCTCCGGAGCCCACGTGGCCAGACAGTGCCAGTGAGGAGGGAAGGCTGTTAGCCTGCCCCTTTCAGGAAGGGTTGCATTCGGAGTCACAATTTCCGTAAGGAATTATACACAGGTTATCATACAAATGAACAATAATATATTTACTGCAAGAAGTAATAAACAGGTTTTTTCCTTAGAAGAAGCAAACGGTAATAATGAAAGAAGTATGAGACAAATTTGTACTTTTAAAAGTCACCAGACACCCAAACTTTTTGCCGCTTCGCTTTCTCCCTTCCTAGGTAAGCCCTGGTTTTGGTCTGTCTTTCCTAATTAACTGTGGCCAACTTTGTTAGGTAGATTCAGCTACAAAACATTTAGTGAACGAAGTCCCCCTCTCACAGAGTACCCCAGACCGGGCAATCCTGCTGCAGGTCGGAAAGCGTGGCGAGGGAGACACAGGGGGAACGTGTGCCTGCCCGTGTGCCCACACGTGCAACGGCACACACGTGGAATGACGCTTATTCTCGGGCAGCACTTGTGGCTGTCATTTCCCAGGAGGTCAGAGTGGACAGTGGTAATAGATCCCTTCTTTCCTGAGGAAAATTAAACATGTAGGTGACCTCAGTTCTGAACCTGATAAAGCCCGTCCTGATACCAAAATGCACAGCTGCCTTCTCACAGTGTAACTGTTCACTTCGCTGCACTTACTTGTGACTTACACGTGTCCAAATTGAACTGGTGTTGTTTCATTCTATCCCAGATATTGCTCCTAGTTTTACACATAATGTGTTTGTAGTGATTCTGGAGAGTCTTTGGGAATCTATAGGGATATGTAAATATTATGCAAAACATCTCAGCAATTGCAAAAGACTTCAAAGGCAGCTGTAGGTGCTCAGGAGCACTTCTGAAATTCAGACCTTATGTACAGCTGGAGCTCACATTCAATATTCTAATAAGCTGAGTTAAAAAGGGAAAAATATTGGATCCTTTGTGCATTTTCAAAGACAAACCTGTGAGTAATCAGTCTTCAGTCTACAGCAAACACACTGCGCAATGTACATAGATTTATTTAAAAAAACATGAAAGTTGGACTTCTGAATTATTTTCTCTTATTTGCCCAGTGCTGATGGAAGAAAAAAAACGCTATGCAAAAGCTACTAGAACTGCACATCACGGCACCACTAGAAAAAGCATCAGTTATAAACAGTAACGTTGCCAATCACTTACAGTTTGTGCTGATCACTCCTTCTACAGCCTTTGAAAGGCTTAAAAAGAGCAGCCAGCCAAATGAAAACATACTACCTTCAAAGAGCCAGTATGCTGAAAACATTCTTCTGCTTTCAGTACTATAAGCCCTGGATCCACAGTACACTACAACAAAGTTGGAAGGACTGTAATGGCAAAGCATATTAACCACGTAACAGCAGACACTCACAAACTGGCTCACTTCAGTTATGTCATTACTTACCCATGACAAGGTATGGTATCCTGGTCTGTGATCCTTGACTCATCTAGCTGTTGATATGCTGGTCCTGTAATTCCATTGAACCTACCCCGAGGTAAGGGAGGAGTCCTCCGAAAGGCATTTCTATGTAGCATCCCACTTTTTTGTCCTGGGCTGCAGCATGAAGAGAGACTTCTAGGAACAATACCAAGAGTACAGTAAAAATTATCAAAGCAAAAGCATAAACTTCTGCACAGTAAAGATTCAGGATTAATAATGCATGGATTACGTTTTTGATAAACTTTGCTGTGGTCGTCTATGATGTCAGCAGAAATTCTCTATGGAAACATAGTACTATAACCCACAGTTAGGTGCTGTTTATGCTGTATTTAATACACCACCTCTCTTCCAGGAATGAAACTAATTGCCTCATATATTAAACGTTTTCTTGTACTTGATGAAGGATGTTTCTTTTTTCCATGCTGCATACCACAATCCTGCTATATAGAGTTGGCTCCTCAGACAGTATAAATAAACAGCACAGCTCCATCACACCTACAGCTGAGCTCAGAATCAGATCTTAGATTTAGAGCCCATTGTATCATCTATCAGCCTACGGGGTCCTGCTTCCTGATACAACAACATTACATTGGGAAAAAATATAAGTTAAGAATATAAGTGAAGCTTATGAACTGCAGCTTGAAGAAATCTATGACACAAATTTTCTCCATGTTGAACAAGATTTCTTTTCTATATTGTTTTATACACAGTTTTCTTCTTTATACATAGATAAATACCGTGTTGCTTCTTTATGTGATATAATACAAACTTGAATATGATAAAAACAAGTAATAGTTTTCTACTTAGTTTAGAAAATTGCTTTTGTAAACAACATTTTTTTACTGTTTCAGAAGGAGAATGGACTTTTTCCATTTTGTGCAGGAATTAAAAGGTATCTAGCATCCATAGATTTGGTATATGAACCATAAATTCAGCTGTTGCTAATGCAAAAATAAGGGAACACAGAATTAAGGCAAGACATAACCTAATTCTACTGTTAACAGGTCACAGTACTGCACAGTGTAACTGGCTAGTCATTTCCCAGCTACTCCCATTTCTCTTGACATCTCCTGGGTCTCAGAAATGCGTATGTATTACCTAATATTCTGTCACATCCTTAATCATGTTTTAATATAGGTTTTGTAGATGCATTTTAAGAATAGTTATTTTTGGTTAAGTGAATAATTTCAACTTCTGATACAATTCAGCTATGCAAAAGACTTTTGACAAGTTTGCTTCTCTTTTCCTATTATAATATGATTTGAAAGCATTCTGCATTTTATACCTAGTGGGAACTTTATTTATAGTTATCTGTAGTTATCTATAAATATATCTACTCCCAAAGCAATTCTTGCTTAGACAAAATATGTTGCACAAATTCTCTTGGAGCAACATTTCCATTAAAACCAACCTTTTCTCCCCAAAGTCAAAACATAAGAAAGAAATTCCACAGTCTCTATCCTACTGCTCAGGCTAGCAGTGTTCCACTGCGGTATCCATGCTGTTCTCTTCCACACTTTTACTTTCCTAGTACTTTTTAATTGAAAATATCAATAACTCATAGCAATGGCACTTCCCCAAGGATTTCCAATGCTTCCTTAAATAGATTTTTCCTTAGCTATTAAGAAGGCTGCGAAAAAACTTTTTTAAAAAACTGAAGTACTGGCCTTTCAGCTCTGAAGGCTGAGTTCAAATTGTGAGTTACAGTTCATATTCTGTAGAATAACACTACCACATCACAAAAAAATTGACAGTTTCTGCTCAGGAGAGTCTGAGATTATTACAGATTATTAAAAGATGCAGCTGAATGAGTAATTTGTGATGGATAATGAATTTCAGGTTTTTTTATTGATTGCAGTATATTCATCAATGTACTAGAAAAGTCGACAAACTGATTAACTTACCAGACTTTAGACTGATTGCAAATATTTGAAACAAGAAAGGCACTAATTGTGGTCAGTTTGATGCCCTTGAGCATCTTCCTTGTTGGATGAGAGCACATGGTCTCCCATCTAATAACATGCACATGCAAATTCACAAAATCTCTGTATTTGTAATAGATGTAATTGTAACACATACAGGTATACCTGAGATAATTAGTATGAACTGCAGCAAAGATGCATATAAATGCCCTATCTGCACTTCCTTCAACTTGCACCGAGACTCTCGTCGCTACATCTAACACTAGATGCCACAGGCTGCTAAAGGCGCGTGGGCTGGTTAGACTGAGGGGATCTGGCACGTGCCAACATCTTCCTGCAATCACAGCAGCTCCAGCACCAATAGAGCTTATGCAACTCATCTGTTGCTAATGTGAGGTTCTTACGCTTTCAACATTTCTGACAGAACAAATGGAGAGGAAAATGAACAAAAATCATTTGTGGTCATGGACAAATTCACCAAGAAGGACCAGGAAATATTTAGACAGTGCAGCTGCAAGATAACGCTCACTTCTTGAAGCATCAAAGACAAGAGAGTAACAATTTTTGTTAAAAGTTCTATGAAAAAGCAACTCCAGCATAACAAAGTTTTTCCTTTTCCACAAAACTGCTACGAACGTCAGCATACTCTTCCTCCAAAAATTAATACAGTGCCTCTCAGGCTTCTGCTCTATTGCTCACATGAAGTGTTCCTCTCTGAGGCAAACGACGCCTGACAGATTTCTTCAGGGAATTTATCCTCCTTTAGCCACCATTATGATTTCTTCCTCCCTGTACTCCAGTCTAACTGGGTAAAAGAAACCAGCCCACGTAACTGAGCTGTTCAATAAAAAAGACCAATAGGGAAAGCTGTAGCAGATATGACTTCAAAATCCATTAATGAATTACTCCAGAATAACAAAAATCAGAAATTGTTTGAACTGGTTCAAAAGTAATGCGTAAACTAGGGGGAAATACAGTTCTGATGAATTAATGGTTTGAAAGATGTAGTTCAACCATCTCTAAAGTTAATTAAGAACTTGGGATTCATTGTTGCAAAATGTTTTGTGGGAATATTTTCTTTAGGTTGAGCAACCGAGTAAAAACAAAGTCTGTCTCAGGAGGTGAAGTATTCTCTTCTCATGGCACATACACAACTCCCAAGTGCAGTTAACCGTGTTCATGAAGAGGAGATGACTTGCAGTGAATTTACAGGAACTCTGGGAATCTTCCTGTACTACTTTTTAGTTAATTACTAAACAAAATTGATTCTATATCACATTATGAACACATTCTGAAGTATCTTTGTCAACAGAACAGGGAAAGAATTAACAAGAGGATGACAAAGTGTTAAAACTTTTGATGGGATCCCAACATTTCCCTTCTTGTTTAATAAGCACAATAGAGCTACAGAAACAGTGTTTATAACCATGGTTGTGCGTATATCTATTTTACTTATTCTTTCCTCTTTTTTCATGATTGTAATTCATGAAAAGAAAGATGCAAAGTTGAGGGAAGAAGGAAAGTTCTAAAATTGATTGTAAATACTCTGGCTCTGTACCTGCAAAATACATAGAGAGGCATACTGTATTACATACTATATTACCTACTGATCACGACATGCAAACATTAGCATTGAAGACATGGTTTTTGTCCTTGCAAGACAGAAACAGTAAATACATACTCCAGTGACAGAGCTAGCTGCCAGATAGACAGTGTCTTCCGATGTTCCCTAGGAGCCACATTTTAGGCTGTTAGACAATCTACTGCTAGCATTTGTACAGATCAACTATTCCGACTTTCAACCAATTTTCAGTTTCAATAAAAAGGATCTGCTATACCTGAGAACATAAGCATCTCTCAGTAAATACCATGCAACAATAATAATGCTGTATCACGAAGCCCTTTTGTTAGACTGTTTACAAGAACAAGATGACAGACAATGCGCGTGTCTCTGTTGAAGCCTGTGTTACAGACGGCTCCCCAAAGGGAGAAAGTTAACATAATGTTTGAGACTTCAACAAAGCTGTATGTAATTAAAATACTAAGATTGTAAGGAGACTATTATGCCAGAAAAGCTGTGGCATAAGAGAACTGAACTTAATAGTTTTATCCTTTTTTTCTCTATATAGTGTCCTGTATCATAAGCACTTAAACATCACTTTTCCTCTGTCTTTGCAAAGTAGTTATGTACTGTCTCAGTACATGATTACTGTCTAGGAATAGGAAAACACCTAATCTACAATGGCACAATGACCTGTGTTTCCTGGCTCATGTTTATGAACCATTACAGCTGGTCAGGTTCTCAGCCTGGGTGATGGAGTGGGACTGTAGCCTGCTGTTTGCAAACCCCTCTTCTCCCTTTGCATATGCAGGAGAAGCTTTCCAGCAGCCAGCCCATACCTACAAATCTAGTCTTGATTTCTGAAATGGGAGCACTGTTGCTTCCATTATATATTCTCGTATCCAGGAGTAGCATGTGCCAGGGCTGACTGGGGACTTTGCAACTCTACATAAATCCTTCAACACTACCTATCTCATCTGGTCACCATCCCGGTTCCACCAGATAGATACATAGAACAGGAAAAGGGAACAGAGCATTCAAAGGTACCTCAGTGGCACTGAGCTTAATCACCTGCCTTAACTTCATCATACACTCCCTGTATTGCACTGATCAACCTCCATCCTAAAACTACAATGGTAACCGGGCTAGTACTCCAGGAAGTTGTTCTATATTGAAAACTTTTGAGGCTTTTTTTCAGTTTAAAATTATTTATGATGAGAATACATCTATTTTTCATATGTGCCACCATACTCCTTCATTTTAAATAGGCCTTTTACTTCTCATTACGCTTTCTCTGACGTATTTATAAGCAGCAGTCATATACTCTTTTCAGTCTTCTGAAGACTGAAATGAGACACTCTCTAACACTTTCAGTGGAACACAGATTATTCATTCCTCATATTAGCTCAGGCATGCAATTTAAGTCCATAATCAGGAGGCCATTTTAACCAGGTGAGATAATAATGGTGTATTCTCATGCTATATTCAAATGAAGTGACAACAGTGTCTCATGAAGTGGTTTTAATGTTTCTGACTTTGTGATGGAAATGTCTTGATTAATACTTCTTCTCATCCCATTTATCTTTTGCACAGCTGCATCACTCTGTGACTTGGTTATCCTTTGACCAAGTAGTATATAGTGAACCTTTTCTTCCACAGTTGTTTCTTAAATTTCATAGTTAGTTCCCAAATGCCTGACCTTGTATTTAGCACTGCTGAGCTTCAATCCACCTCTGTTATGCCAGTCTTCAAAGTTATTCAATTCATTCTTTATATCTAGATCCTTATCTGTACCAGGTCTCTCTTTTGACTAATTTTTTCAGTATGTTGCAACTTTTTTGCACCAAAGTAATGCACAAAAACATTAAACAAAATTTGTCCCTAACATTGACTAGTTCTTTGAGAGCTCCATTAGTGTGTCACTGGTGAATGTCTTCAGCCCAGCACTTACATTCTCAAAGTAATTCCTTACTATCTCCCTTTTAACCACACCTCTGTATATCTGCATCATAGTTTTTCTGCCTCTCTCTACTTTCTCCCATTAAAGGCATTAGACACATGTGACAACAAATCAAACGTTGACTGAGGCTGTGTAGAGATCTAGCTCACCTACACCAAATATAAAGAAAGTCATCAGTGTAATGTTGCAGGAACTGCTGCTGGTAAACCTCATGACAATTTTTAGCTTTTTTTACATCTACCCAAAGAATCAGCTTCCCCTACGTTTGTCCTGAAGCCTTGACTAGTCTAATTCAACATAATAGGTCTTCAGTTCCTTCGATAAATTTTTACTCTTCCTAAATATTTAACATTTGCTATTCCATCATCACATGGCACAGCTCCCATTTTGATAGATTTTGCTACCAGACTTGAAATTTCATGAGCCAGTTCTCCTTCCAGACTTCTTTGATCAAGGCTAACCAGACCATCTTGACTTGAGGGCTTTGATTTCTGCATTTTACTTCCACTTTGACTGTAGAAATGTCTGTTTTCATACATTTGATTCTATTCCCATACTACCTTCATCCTCAAATAATCATCCTAACTGAAAAATGAAATATATTCATTCAGGATTGCCCTAACTGCTTCCTATATTATCTCTGTCCCACCATAAGCTTTGCTTCTTCCTGTACAGCACTCCTATTCGTTATACAGCCAGAACAACTGATTGCTTTCAGTATTACCAGTAATTCTTAACTCTCAGTGATTCCTGGAAGTGTTCACTTCAGGCACGACTTCTTGCCCTCTGTGATATAGTTTGTTTCTTCCCCTAATGCCATTTAGGCATTCTTTTTAGTAAATGTCTCCAGAAAACTATGTTCTCTCCTTGGGAAAATATCAAACTCCTTACACTTTCTCCCTTTCAAGCTTCCTCTGCCTTTACATTCTTAGTTGCTTTAGTCTATCTTTGAATTTTGTTCTTTAAAATTCAATAGCCTTATTTACAGAATAACTTTAATTTGCTCTTAATTTAAACTGAACTATATTGGGAGCATAAAGAGTAAAACACTTACTAAATAAAAAAACCTGGTTTTACCATGGTTTTCATGGTGCTAAAAGTTCACTGAAATGCAAACATAAATTGGTTTAAATTTTACAGTAAGTTTACCCTATTTTGGCATTTTTGTAAGACAATACAAGTGCTCCAGGCTGAAAGCCTCTGCATTTGGCTTTCGTCATGGTATTCTCTGAAATGAATCCCTCTAAAATCAATGACGACTGAATCAATGAATGAAAGTCAGGATGACTACCAAGAAAACTGCTATTCAAAGGGTTCACAACTCAATCCCATAATTAGCAAAACTCTAATTTGTTTCTATCTGTTAGAAATCAAGACAGTTCGGGTTTTCTTCTTACTAAAACCAACAGATAATCCAAGATGAATTTTTCAGTTTACAGGAAGTTTACTGGTTAAACACATTTGTTACTTTCCAGTTCTGACAGTACTAAGTTGTTTTACACGTGCAAGCAGATGATATAAAATTCTTCTACCGTAATAACAGTGCATAATACAGATGAAATATTTTAGGAGTAAGATTCAGTGAAGATTCAAATTTTTAATTCAATCTCTGCAGTAACACTTTGCATGTGACTGAGGCTGATAGAGACAAAAAAATTTATATTATCTAGTAATCTGAGCAAAATAACTAGGTGATCTCTGCCAGTCAAATTTCAGCACCCCCCAAATGATTCCCCACCTTGACAATCTTACTGCCACACCAAAACTGTCTTGGTTTTAGGAACTGGAAACAGACAGCTCCTGATTTTAAGAAATAACCACCCACCATTAGTGCCCTTGAAAATACCAGCAGTGAAAACAGGTCTGGATGCGGAACAAAATATTTCCGTGGCAAGCAGAAACAAAAAAATGATACAGTTTAACATCATAAAACAGAGAACCTGCAGAGCTGCTGTAATTTTTCCAGGCTCATGTCAGGTTTGGAATGGAATGAAGGGATGTTTAGGACAAAATGCATCCCAGTAAAAAAAGAAGTTTCCTCATTTGGCCACACTGAACACTAGAAACTAAAGAAAATGAGTAAATTAGGAAGCCATCACATGGTGCATAAATTAAAGACAGCCTTATAAGTCTTAAATGTTCAAATCTGTTGCATGTTTATAAAGCAAGGGCCTTGTATAATAAATCTTAAGTTGTAAAACTACAAAAAGAATTCTTTATAAATTAAGCTAGTCATTCCACATCTTAAAACAGTTCTGAAGCAAAGACTCTGAAGACAGTCTGGTGCTTGACATCTGCAAATAAGTTGACTGTTGGGGTTTGGGTTTTTTGTTTTGTTTTGGTTTTTTGTTTTTTCCTGGGAAAGAGAGATTTTTTGTGCAAAGATATTAAAGTGAGCAATCTAGGATGCTGCATTAGTTCACTGTAAATTCAGTGAGGCTTATTCTGTAATTTCCCTACTGAAAACAGGGCGTCTAGAGAGTCATTCAGCTTTTATTTCAAGTGATGTTCATAAACAGAAGAAATATTTTCAGTTGCTAATTTATTTCCAGATTTTTAAGCTTAGGTAATGTCCTAAACAGAACCTAAAACATTTCAAACTTGGATATTGCAGTCATGTTATTAAAGGTAAGGGAATGTCACTGTGTTTTTTCTGAACTTCACCTTTCGACTAAATGGAGATAAAATTCACCCCAGAATTTCAGTGGAAAGCATTCTAGGCAACAGTTCTATAGTTCATCTACGTTCACTAAAATTATTAAGCATATTTTTTAAATTTCTGTGTAATAAGGAATAAGCCCTAAGAAATGGATCTGACGTGACAGTTAGCATTACTTTTTCATGCCAAGTTAAAGGCTTAAGTAAGGTAAAAGTAGACTGGACCCAAATATCCCTTCCTGGCTCATACGCTGCACTTTGGTAGGTTAAGCAAATCATTCATTCAGCAGAGAAGGAACACGTAACTGACTAGGCACTGCAATGAAAATGCGCCAAAAACTACAGAAGCTGGATCATAACCTCATGCAATCCCAGACTTTTTTTTTTAAGTAATTAAAAAAAAAATTATCCTTTTAATAAATAAGTCTTTCCCTCAAGATTATGTAGCTAAAAAACCTCTGAACTCATTTTTCTCAGCCTTTTTTCTCAGTGTGCTCTGGACCAGACGTTATCACTGCCATTCCACCAACACTATTGCTTATACCAGACACGAGTTTGGTTTCTAGTCCCGTAATGAAGCATCTGTATTCTTTTTCATCCAAAAAGACTATAAGCAGAATTCTAATCCAAATGCCATCCAGTGATGGGTGACTTTTCTCTTTTTTTCCTCTTGGAAACAACCATCCAAACTTTTTAAAGACTAGTTTTCAAAGGCCACCATGTGTTCATAAATAAGTCATTATTCATTTCAAGTATTTTTTGTTTAAAGAAACAGTGATAAAGTCTGGAAGCTTGCAACTATGTCTTTCTGCAGCGAATGAGTCATTAACTTCATGAACATCAATAAAGAGTCTTGTTTTCAATGGTTTCTCAAACTACAGTTGTTTCATTCACTGGTCTGTGTCTACAGCTTGGATGGTGCCTTTAAATGCTTCCTCTAGGACTTTTACAAAATGCAGATAAAGTCGGTGAGCATTGTTACTGCCTTTTATGTCTGCAGCTAAGAAAATGCTTGGACATCTGCTTAATGAGTCGGCTGAGGCTCTGTTGGTACCATATCATTCAGCATCTCTCCTAGTCCCAGCGCACAATAATCCTGCACACGTATCACCAGTTCAACGACATCCCCCGGCAGCCTGCCAAATCTCCCAGCAGACAGCTGTTTGCTTACCTATGTTGCTTGATGGGCTGGGGTCCTCTGTCGGGAGACAAGGCCTCTGGGAAAGGCTGAGGGCCTGAAAAACTAGACTCCATAACTTTGTCCAGAATAGGCCGAGGATGCCTATCTGTTTTTGAATACTGTGGCACAGAGAGTAAAATTAATTAATACACAAAAGGCAAAGTACATTGTCGATGCTATGCAATCACAATTCATATTGGAGTGGGGTAAGAAGTGCTCTAATGCATTTTTAAATTAAAATTAGGCATTGCAAGAATACATCCATTTGCTATTGTTTACATAGTAGAAAGACCCGGTACTCATTATCCCCATTACCTTCTCCACATCAAAATGCTGATATCTGCATTAGTAGCAAAATTACTGACTGATCTGCCCGTAATGATAGGGAACACTGATCCCTTTGAATAAAAGCCTGTTTTTGTGGCTGTCCATGCAAAGACTGAGATCACGAAACACACCTCAGAGGATGCTCAGCACCTTCTTGGGTTCTTTGGTGATTTCAGTCAAACATTGCTTTTATCAGCATGTGTTAACTGTGAAAACCAAACTGAAACAGCATTTGTATCATCAGATAAGTAAGAAAAATATTTGAATCCTATCTGTAGAGCCAGATATCCATTCTGAAACTTTTGACCTGGGAGTATCTGTGCTAGTAAGAACAGCATGAACATAACTCCTCTTGCGACAGCTGTAGGCATAGGGCAGTTTCTGGGCACATAGTGAAACATAAAAGTCTGTAAAGCAGCCACTGGACATGAACAAGAACAGACTTTCTTCTTCTTGCTTTGTGACTCAACTAGAAATTCAGCAAAAATTGTGTCTCTGATCCTGAATTGAACCAGAAAGTCAAAGTATAAAAAAAGCTGCATTTTGGCTTGGAAGAAGAATCAATGTTGTTAGTGGTTACCGGGCAATATCTGAGAGATATGAAAAGTTAACCCACAGTTCCAGTCAGGTATGATAAATACTTGCACTTTGCAGATTTTTACATTGCATTACAATGACCTGCATGAAAACTAATTGGCCTATTTTTCTTTAATCCATTTCTTTCTGTATTGAGTTTGTATTTTTAGTACTAGATACATAGACATCCATCTTGTCTTTACAATAAACGGGTATTGTGGAAGCTATTACATGATTAAATAT